GTCAACGAACCCCTATATTTAACCACACCCACCACTGTCTTCAATCACTTCTTCAAATTGTAACAGCTTCTTGTATATAAGGTATGGGTGCTACTTGAGTACAGCCTCAAACTCATGTACTAAGTGGCTCATTACGTTGTTGAAAACTGTAGAGAGCCATGCTGGCGATCGCCTAAAAAGATCAGCGTAGGTTGACTAATGCCCTAGATACACAAGGCGAGCTAGGACTACACAAAGAGCAGTCTCTAAGTCTGGCTTTACCCGGTCTCTCCATTCGATTTTATAAAGCCGAAGGAGTGGCACAAGTTAGGCGATTTCCTCGATTGAAAACCTTAATAGTATAAGAACCTATACCCTAAACCTCAACCCCTATATATCAATTACTTACTGGAACTTGTGTACTACCTACCCTAGAGTTTGACTACCCCACGATCGTAGATTCTAGTTGAACTTCTCATATTCGTATGTAATCCGGGCTTGTAGGCGTTGAGTTATATGTAAAGACTGTATAAGCCACTGGTAATATTGTAAGGACACAGGACCCAGCTCACAGTAATAGCATATGAGAGTGCGAGTCGGAGGCTGAATGGATGCTATCCTATAGGTCTACTATGAAGGATACAAAAAAGATGAAGGGGGAACCCCGTTAAGTCTGTTTCCTTAAATACCCAAAACGGGCCCGACTCGGTTATCTCAACCCTAGCCCTGAACCTTCCACCGCAACAGGTCCACATCAACCCCGAACCCTATACCCTTATAAACTTTAGGTCTGGGTAAGATGAGATAGAATAGATTTTTTGAGAGTATTGTAGGAGGGGGGGTTAGCCCGAACCGTTCCCCACTATAGTGTAACTCGCTATGTGCTCCTCAACTGGTCCGAAACAGCACGAAGTCAGTTTTCATGCCCGTGGTGACCGTAACAGCTCTGAGGCGGGTCCTTCGAGTATCTAGGTAAGGAGGCATCCTTACAAATATCGGCGCTAGCGATGATGTGGAACAAGTAAGGCTGCTATGCAAACAGTAAGAGCAATCAACTCTAGCTCTTTAGTATCTGACATTAGGTTATATTATTATATTTTTACACAATATAGTAGCTACGTCACAAAGATATTTTATAACGAAAGTGGTGGTCGAATAGGCCCCTACCTGCCTAGTTCCAAAGCACTTACTGAAGTAGAAAATTTTATCAAAGGCTAGTATTCTACAGAGGGAACAAAGGGCTCTACGTCACATAGGGGATTACAAAGGGAAATAGGGGGTATGGCTGGAAGGGGAGAGTTACATACAATTTACTAGTAATAAATTAGCTATCTAACGACCGATCATGATCCAACTTTTCTACACTGATTAATACAGTTAATATAGCCAAACTGACAATATATCACCAAAACTACAACTTCCTACACGTCACCCTTTTGATATTGCCTAATTAAGAGGTACGGTAAGCACTAAACAAGGATTCTATTACTCTAATACTAATATAATCTAGTAGTACTCTAGTACTGCTTCACATCACCGGATCAGGCAGTGTTAAGCTGATGACTGTCAAACACTGCTGAATCGCTCTAGTCCCCTGTTGCATTGTAACAGAGCCATTTCTAGCCTAGTAAATTAGTAGTGTATCATATGTAGTTAGCTATAATCAACAATTTAAACGACATCCTATACTTGAAATAGGTGAATACTATATATTACTCTATGATAACTATAGAAGCTGACCCTTACAGCATCTAGCAAACAGCCTAGCTTGCTATGTAGATGGCAAGCCAGCTCTCTAAAGAGAGTCTATTAAGAGCCCTAGCCCTAGTCTCGACTGGCTTAGCCTGCCCTTGCCCTTAGAGGAGCCCCCTAACTACTTGCCTATCCCATCTATAGATTCCCCCCTCTCCCCTAAAGGGCCTAGCTAGCCCCAACCTAGAAGGATGACAATGTTGACAATGGCGCCACTAGCGCCACCCCTAGCATTACCTATGGTAGTCAAAACCATATAACCGCTAAGGACATGCTCTTTGTCATACGGCTCTACATCAAGGAGTAGGCCGCATATGGCCACTAGTCTAACTAAGCATTTTAGAAGCAGATTGCCAAGCGCCATATAGTAGACTAAGGCAAAGAGCACTAAACTCTTAGCTAGGCTATAGCCAAGCTTGTTTGTAAGCGTAGGACATATATCACCAAGCTTAATAGCAGTAAGCAAGACACCTAGTCGTCTATGACAGACACTCTAGACTCCTAGATCACTATGCTTAATGCCTAAGAGAAGGTTAAGCAAGCTTAGCAAGAGGCATAGGGCACTGCTAATGAAGAGACAACTGCATTAGCGGTGTAGCAGCAGGCCTCTCTTATGCTCTAGACAGACAAGATGCAGCTCTTAAGAGCTGCTTCTCATGCCTACTAGCAAGAGAATGAGGAGGATGAGAGCAGCACTGCCCCTAAGACCCCACACCCTATAACTACAGACCCTACAACATAATGATGATGACTAGCTGCCCTAGCACTAGTTATAGCCCTCGAGGGGGATCCTATCACTATAGGACTTAAACACCTCTTTAGCGTTGTTAAGAGGGCTGCTAGTTGGATAGGCAGCGCCTTAAAGTAGGAGGAGAGGGAGGAAAAGGATGCTGCTGTCAAGAAGCAGCTTAAGGACCTAGAGTCTAAGGTTAGCCCTGTTAATGACAATGTCGTATAGATGCTAGCGATGATGTAGCAGAGGGGGAATTAGGAGGGGAATTAGGAGGGGAATTAGGGGGAGGGGGGATAATAGGGATGTACATACCTATGATAGATATATAGGAGTTAATCTAAACCAGTTCCTCTGCTCTTGCCCCTATAGGCATGTCTGTACATTCATAAGCAAGACAGTAATGACAAAGTATGTAGCGACAGGCTACATACCAGCCCTTAGCCCCTTGCTAAAGGCACTATATGACTAGCTTTGCTAGACAGAGCCAAAGACTCTCCCAACCTCAATCCTAACAGAGGACATAGTAGCGTTCTGTCACTACTAGTCCTTAGGCAAGCTAAACCGCCCAAGTGGATGCTCGATCAGGCACGTAGTGCTAAAGGCAGCTAAGTAGGCTAAGTCACTAAAGACATAGAGGGTCTTATGACCCTCTATGATCTGTTAAGAGGTTAGCACTAGTTACAAGAGGGGGGAAGGGGGGACTTACCTTATAGATAGCTTCGTCACAGCCAGACTTACACTATATAGCTTCATCACAGACTTACACTATATAGCCTAGTTATTAACTAGGCTAGCAAATGGCCCTATAAGCGAGCTGATTAAGCCATCTAGGGTATAGATGGCTTGCTAGTTAACGCAATGAAGGCGCTTGTGCCTAGAGAACATAGCTCTCTAGGCCACATTGCCTTATGGCTGGCAATGTAGACGGCAAGTGCCATCTATAGCCCTAGACACCCCTAACCCTATAGACTCTCTTGATCCTAGCAGCAAACTCTGCTAGCTGATGGTATGTCAGCTAGTGGTGCCACTAGAGAGGCAGCCTAAACTAGGCTGCGAGGAATAGCACTATGTCATTAAACATAATGCTAAGCTAGGCCTTAGAGCATCTAAAGACATTACAGAGGCTCACCTAGCAGCCTAGGTAGGCTAGTCTAGCACAGATGACTTAGAGAGCAGTCTCTATAGTCGGTGCTAGATGGCTCTCCTAAGTCACCTCCTTAATACAGAGCAGGGGAATCAGCTAGCATAGTTCCTATTCTATAAACCAGAACAGGTGCTACGCATTACCTAGGGGTAGGTCCCCTAGGCAGAACAACTAGTGTTTATAAATGAACACTAGCTGAACCACTTATAGCAACTGCTGCTGCTGCTGCTTAATTAGGTGGCAACAGTGCTACGATAAGCAGCAACAGCAGGAGCACCTCTTATGTGCTAACACCTAGTGCTAGTCTTTGGCCTTAAGAAGGAGAGCTTCTAAGTGTCTTGTGTTGAGGGCTTGCGAGTGCCTCATTAAGGTTAGTAGGTGGTAAATCTGCTATTCATTAGCCCTGCTGATCGTTAGGGTTAAGGGTATAGCGGTGATGGCAGGGTATAGGCGCCTTTAACTAGGTATTGCCATATATGGTAATTTCTTAGCCTAGAGAGCCTAGCGCTGATTTGGGAATAGAGGGGCAGGGGTGGTTACTGTCACACGCTAAAAGTTCGACAGTAATTCAGTTGCTAAATTGCTCTAGTGTGGTAGAAGATATGATGCTAGAAAATATAGTGGTAGAAAAATACAGTCCTATAAAATCAGTACTATAAAATCCAGTACTATAAAATCCACCACTATAAAATCCACCACTATAAAAATCAGTACGCTGTGTACATCCGTACATCCACTAACAGATTCAGTACTAAAGAGTACGGACACCGGTACGAACCACACTACACCACTATCCCCGATCCGGATTAGTTCGTCAAGTACCCCCTCTCCCCTGTCCCTCACCCCCTGTCCCTCTCCCCCCCGTTCTAAAACAAGAAAAAGAGTACGTACAACCCCCTGTTCCTCCACGCGCCATCCCCAATAAATCTTGAGCACCCTCTAACCGCATCCAGATAGTCGACCGAGTCTAATCCGACGACCCCTTCTGGCCATGTCGCCGAAGATCGATCACTACTCCTCTCCCCTCTCTACACAGAAATCTCCCGAAATCCTGCTCCTCCGTTATCCGTCTACAAATGGAAGTGTGAGTGGAGAGTAATTCAAAACACCCCCCATGACAATGGGGCCGCGGCGGAGATGGGGGTGGAGCCGAACCCATTGACTCTCTCTCCCCTCGTCCATCCCCCCCTATCCCCATCATTGGGCAAACGCTGGGCAGATGCTGGGCACACGCTGTCCAGGACTCACCACCTTTCACCAGCGACCTCCCTCCCCCAACCGACGCACAAGCACAGGGGGCCCCCCCCCCCGCCCCCCCCCGGCCTATCCGCTACGGCCGCCCTGCTGCGTTCTGTCGCCTCCTCCACTTCCTGCAGAACGGCCAGCGAAACGGGCTCTAGACGGACGATCAAGTCGATCACCGAGAGAGAGCCTTAGGAGAAGGGAAGAAGGCACTTCCTGAGTGAAGCTTATTTCCTCCTCCCATCTGCTCTTTATTTTGGCTCCATTTCGACATTCGATATCCACTCCTCCTTGCTTGATTGATTGATTGTTTTGCTTGGCTTGGGTTCGTGAGGCCGTTCAGTTTGCATACGTTGCTAGAACCGAGCTGCGAGCACCTTGATTGTTTGATTGTTTGAATCATCATAACCACCACCACCACCGCCGGCGCGCGAGTCTATTGACGACAACACTCCACACCACACGAGCAATATCCCAACTCGAATCCCCTCAACCAAACCGCCAAGCTCACCCACCGCCCACACCAACCCTCATCGACACAATACCCGCACCAGCCCAGATGCCCAAACACCGCGCCTCAACATCCACAACCATGGACCTTGTCTCCCTCGGCGGACGGTCCAAGTCCTCGTGCCCCACGTCAGAAACAGACGGCAGCGGCAGTGGCAAGGCCGAGGGCAAGGCAGAGGAGGGCGGCGCCGCGTCGGACGCGGTGCGTGAGAGGGGTGCGCAGAATGGGGATGCACAGGCGACTTCGTCGGGGTTTAGGGAGAGGGCTGGGGAGGCGGCGTTGAGGCCGCTGGAGGGGTGGAGGTTAGGCGGTGTTACGACTGCGTGAGTTATATTCTGATATCCTTGAGGTGGGAGTTTGGGAGGGAGCGGATGTTGGGGTGGAGGGGAGGGAGCTATGGTGGAGCTGGTGATAATGGAAGGATAACGGCTGATGACGTGACGTCTACAGATTATTGCTTGGCCTTTTCCTCGCGACACTCGAGACGTCGATTACGGCTACGGCACTGGTGTCTATTGGGGAGGACTTTACAGCTACGACTACTGTATGTGCCCTCACTACTCCTGCGAATTGACAATGATGACGGCTGACGAGTTGGACAGACTACCTGGGTTGTAATATCCTACCTTCTCTCATATATGGGTACGCCCTCCCCCCCGCCATTCCCCTCCCGCCTACACCCTCCTAACACCTCCCCCCAGGCTTCGCCGTAATCTTCGCCCGCATCTCCGACGGCATCGGCCGCAAAGGCGCCAGCATCCTCGCCTGGCTCCTCTTCGCCGCCTTCTCCCTCGGCTCCGGCCTCGCCACAAACATCAACCAACTCATCGCCTTCCGCACCCTCCAAGGCATCGGCGGCTCGGGCCTCTTCTCCCTCTCCATGATCGTGCTCCCGCAGATCACCCCTGTCAAGCTGTGGGCCCTCATGTCCTCGCTGGTCGGCATGTGCTTTGCCTTCTCCTACGTCCTCGGTCCCATCCTGGGAGGTGTGATTGCCAACAACTCGACGTGGAGGTGGATATACCTCTTCAACGCCCCCGCTGCCGTCCTCGGCGTAGGCCTAATCCTCATCGCCTGGCCCGCGCAAGCAGATCGCAAAAACCGCCTCTCAACATCCCTAGCCCAAATGGATGTCCTCGGCGCGCTCCTCCTCCTCGTCGCCACCGTCCTGTTGGTGTTCGCCCTGCAACAAGCAGGATCCCAAGAATACGCCTGGAGCAGCCCCGTCATCATCGCCACGCTCACCGTCTCCGCAGTGTCGTGGGTGGCGTTTATTGCGTGGATCGCGTGGCTGGAGAGCGGGAGGTCGGGGTTGAAGATTAAAGCGATTTTCCCGCTGTCGATTGCGCTGAAGAGACCGACGGGGCCGGGGATCTTGTCGTCGCTGGTTGTGGGGTTTCCGTTCTTTATGATCCTGATTAATCTGCCGATAAGGTTTCAGGTTGTGAACAATGATAGTAGCGTTATGGCGGGGATTCACACTTTACCCTTCCTGGGAGGAGTTGCTCTTGGCACCACACTTGGAGGTGGGATCGCGACAAGAAAGAACTTGACGGCGCACGCACTCATCTTCGCCACGGCACTGGCTTGTCTCGGCTCGGGCCTCATCTCTACGACCGCTGACGGCCTCCGTATCCCGAGAGCGCAGTATGGGTACCAAGTCATTCTCGGCACCGGCTTCGGGTTAGCATTTACCAGTATCACCATGATGATGGCGCTGGCTCACGATTTCGACACCGTTGGTACGTCTACTTCGCTTTCCCTGTCCATTCTCCCCTTTCCCCTTTCCCCTTTCCCCTTTCCCCTTTCCCCTTTCCCCTTTCCCCTTTCCCCTTTCCCCTTTCCCCTTTCCCCTTTCCCCTTTCCCCTTTCCCCTTTCCCCTTTCCCCTTTCCCCTTTCCCCTTTCCCCTTTCCCCTTTCCCCTTTCCCCTTTCCCCTTTCCCCTTTCCCCTTTCCCCTTTCCCCTTTCCCCTTCCATCCCTTAAACTCAATCGTAGAACCTCCGCTAACACCCCCCCCAGCCGCCGCCCAAGGCGCTGTAGGCCAATCCCGCGTCCTCGGCGGCTCCATCTCCCTCGCCATCGGCACCATAATCCTCAACCGGCACCTCTCCAACCTCGTCACCCACGCCACCTCCCCTCTCTCCCGCCTCCAGCTGTCTTCCCTCCGCGCCTCCCTCGCTGTCCTACCGAGCTTTTCGGAAGGGCAGCAGGAGGCGGTCAGAGCGGCGTATGCGAGTGCGTTTAGAGAGCAGATGAGGGTTTGTGCGTTTGTGCTTGTTGGAGGGGTGGTGGTCACGGGGATGACGTGGCAGAGAGTGCCGAGGAGTGTGGAGGAGAGTAGGGCGAGGCAGGGGAGGTTGGCGGAGATGCAGAAGGGTGGGGGAGGGGGGGCTGAGGCGTAGAAGGCTGATCAACTCATCTCTCTTTCTGCTTATCTGCTTGTCGAGTCGCTTTTTCTGTATGTGGTGGTTGGGATGCATTTTTTGCATTTTTTGCCCCGTTTTCCGGCTATGTGCCGAGTACATCTAGTGATCTGTCTTCGTCTTGTCTATTTTTTTTACCATCATCATCGTCAACATCATCACACATCACCAACATCACCACCACCACTCATCACACACCAACATCATCACATCAACACACATCATCGCATCATAATCATTTACTTTATCGGCGTTCTCAGGACGGGGTCACAAATTGGGGTTCACGGGGCTATCAAACTTGGGATATCGGGTCTGGGCCAGGCGGGGTTAGGGAAATCGTGTTATCTAGCATAGTTCCTTTTTTGTAGCTGAGGGAAGAGAGTGGGGAGAGGGAGGAGGGGTAAGAGAGAGGGAAGAACCGGGGGAGGCCATTTTGATGTGGTAGGGTTTTAGTATATGATTTGAGAGGCGGGAGGATGAATATAAATGTCTGTTTTTTTGCTATGTGCGTGCTTGAAGGGGCGGGAGGTTATGAGGTATGATCCCGAAAAGTTGTGTTGAGTCTTACTATCCCCCCCCCTGAATGATTGTCACCATCCACTATTTTGTCAAAATGCCTCTGCTAATGATCTCATCTTATTAACGCCTTTTTACCTAAACCGATCGCTATAAGTGGGTTTCCACAAACTTCAAAATAGCGGGTCGTTACAATCATTCAGGGGTTGTCGGAAGTGACATGACATCGTACTTTGTGTGATATCATGGATACGCTCTGTGCTGTACGGGTTGCAGTGTATATATCACTGTCACATCCATCACGACAACTCCAAGATACCATCCATTGTGTTTTTCCCCCCGAAGATACGTCGGAAGCAGCGGGTGCTCAACAGGCCCATGGTGCAAATATCGTCTCTTTGTCTGCGGACTTACTAATCTGTGCTCGTACGTATCGTGTTTTCTCACCACCCCTCCCCCAACGTAACAACCCGTCCCCCACATCCCCCCTTCCACCCCACCACACCACCTCGCCTTCCTACTCAACTACTTCGCCCGCCAACTTGCGAAGGTGTTTGTGAAGTGGTAAAAGCGTTACTGGGTGGAGTGTTGCGGGTGGTGGGGGGGGGTTATAAAGGGATTGCGCTATTCTGGCGCTGAGAGTGGTGTTGGGGAAGGGGTTGGTGGGTGTTGGTCTGTTGGGGGGCTTGGAGGCTTGGTCTGGTGTGAGAACATGCGATGCCATAAGTCCGGGGTGCAGTCATGGTGGGTATCAGGGTCTGGGCTGGTGTTGGCTGGTGTGTACGTGAAGACGGGGGGTGGGTGTGTACGTGAAGACGGGGGGGGTGGTGTGTACGTGAAGACGGGGGTATGTGGCTGTGATGATGAGACTCAACTCGATAGACTCCACAACCCTCATCCTCACTGAGCCAAGGGAGGGACAGTGTCAGGGCAGGTAAGAAGTTATTACCTGGAAGAGTGAGATAAATATAAATATGATTGTAGACTCGACGATCAGGGCTCATGCTGGTTCTGGTGTGAGTGCGCACTGGAGTTTGCTTCTCTTCGATGCCAGCGGGTCTATGGGGAGTTGATGAGTTACCTGGCTTTGATAGCGGGTCAGCTGCTTTGATATCGATGTAAAAAGAGCCCATCTCTTGAAGTAATCATAGATAAACTGACAACATCAGTACTCCCTCTCATCACCCCGCTCTTGTGGTGATATACCGATCCGACTCCCTCCAAAACACATAAACACCCAAAACACCCTCCAGTCACCCCGAACTATTACTCGAGTACCAATATCCCGAATGCACAATATCCCGAATGCACAATATCCCGAATGCACAATATCCCGAATGCACAATATCCCGAATGCACAATATCCCGAATGCACAATATCCTGAATGCACAATATCCCGAATGCACACAAGAGAATAGGATCCCTGTTCACCTCAGCCTACGCCTACGGCATAACATTCGTAACCCCCCAGATTCAGGTTCGTACGACTAGGGAAAGACTCGGTGCGGAGGAGATTTAGACTTCCTGTCACCGTTGGGGGTTTCTCACTACCAGTTTCGTTCTCGTCATTGAAGCTCTGCTTTTGTCACCGCAGCGATCACTACCGAGCCCTCAGTATGAAACTATGCTTGAGCTTGCTTCCAGAAGCTCCCGGCTTCGATGATCCCGGCCACTTTCTGGTGATCGCTGCATTGCAAGGTAACATCTTTTCTCTAAGCGTCAGAACGTAGCTCAGAATAAACGCTGATTGTCTCCAACCAGGAACTGGTCTGCGTCCCGCGTTCGCGTCGAACATTCCGACATTCCGACATTCCGACATTCCGACATGAGGGGTTATCCTCCCCCACGAACACTACACCTGCATACGATCTGCACGGGCGACGAGGTGATAATTCGTCGATCTCGACGTTGGGAATAGCTAGGGTGGGCCATGGGGGACTGGTGGTCCCAAACCGCCGGTTCGAAGATTTTCCAACCAGGACCACGGTCCGCGTTGCAAATCTCGATGTGGTCCCCCAACGGTTTCTTGGCAAACCGATCATGTGTTATCTTAACTACGGAGGTGTTGTTCATAAGTTTTGTGAGTTGGTCGTGGGATGACCGGGGGTTGGGCATGGGTTGGAGCATGGGTACGCGTAGGCTTGTTTGTACCTTTTTAACGCGTCAAAATTCCTACTCTTTCAATAACTACAATGCCTCATCTTACTCGCGATGAGCGGCTTCGTTGCACACTACTATGCTCCCTAGATTAGGAGTTCCAAAAAATTACAGCCTATATTGGCTGCACGGAACGGCAGGCTTGGTATGCTTGCTAGGGCCCTCTAACTCCGAAGAAGCGTATAGGTAGGCCACTTATTCTATCTGATGAGCAAGTTCAAGAGGTTATTGAGTTTATAGCCTCATCTCGCACGAATAGGCGTATGCTATATACCAGTGTTGCCCGAATACCGCTCTGAGTACTACTTGAGCATCCTCGAGTAGAGTACTCAAAATTGAAGCTCGAGTACCGGTATTCGAATGCCGGTACTCGAATACCGTGAGTAGTACTCGCATATAAAATAGAAATTGACTGTATTTACTATTCTAACTCTCATTATCTGCATCGTCGCCGCTGTCCTCGTCGTCGCCTTGTGATATAATACCCCAATTCCGTAAGCAAAGTAGATATCTAAGTGTAGACGGTGATAATCTGTTCCGTTTCTTTGTGATAATATCACTGCCAACACTAAATACTCGTTCTGAGTCCGCTGAGGTAGCTGGAATAGCTAGGTGGTCCTTTGCTATAGAAGCAATCAACGGATATTGGAATTGCTTACTCTGCCAATATTTGAGAATATCTGTGTTCCTACCAACTGTCGGCCTTCATCCATCGCTTCCATTCTGGCTCAGTATCGTGATGGCTTTGCGATACATATAGCTCGTCTTCTGAGTCTATATCAATACTCATAGCTTGCTGCTCTGGATTAGATCCTCATCTTCAATACTATTAATAACGTTTGCTGCTTGAATATCAGACTCGTGGTTGGTAGAAGCAGTCCTGCCACTGTGCCTTTGCCCTGTTCTTTTTGATCGATTGTGTACTGTCTTTCCATATGATATTGAAAACATTGAAATTATACTGAGGATCACAAATTGTAGCAATCGTAGAGTGACTCTGTGGCTGATTCGTAGCTAGAGTATAGTAATCATTAAGCTTCTTTAATGCAATCAAAGTAGCATTAGCAATTGGGCTTCGTTCTGGTAGCTCACTTCTCATATATTCAAGCTTCTTGATCATTCTCATATACTGCGGAACAGCATAGTTAAGAGTTGGATAAGAAGAGCCCTGTAGCTTCTCAGTTGGGCAGATAAAGATATAGAATAGCTTTAATAAGTCATGTAACGTAGCCCAATCTATTGCTGTTAAAGCGATATCCCTCATACTAATATCAAGTTGCTGTGATGCGCATAAAGCTGTAATCGGAACCTGAAGCTTTAAAGCCATATCGATTATTTGTTAAGTTGAGCTCCAGCGGACTGGCATATCAAGTGTCAACTGACGGACTTTAATACCTGCAGCTTTACACTGATTCTTCAAGGCATCTTCCCATCCACAGAGGTTCCGAAATACATATATGATGCTGGAGCTTGGCAAGAACAGTCATGATTTCATTTTCAATAGTAGTTGGTATTCGCGCAGCCCCAACCTCAAGCCGGTATGCCTCTACATTTTCGTCAGACGTTGCCTTTAAGGAAGCTAAAGTAGCTTGAACAGCAATGTTGATAATATGCCCAATACAGCGTACGTCTCCTGCTTTCGCTGTAAAAGCCCATGGTTGTTTCAGGGTAATAGGTTGCGCTGATGCCAGTTTTTCATATTCTAATAGCATAGTTGTATTTGTAGACGCATTATCTCTTGTAACTGTAAAGATCGCAGGCGTAATACTATAATCGTCCGTTACATGTATCATCTGTTCAGCAAGGTATTCGCCAGAGTGGATTGGCTCCTGAAGGTGTATAACGTCAAGTATAGTATTTCTCATTTGCCAATTATCATTTATTCAGTGTATTGTAAGTGCTGCATACTCAGAATAGTTTTGAGCGGACCAAGTATCTGTCGTTATTGCAAGTCGTCCACCGCTTATAATATGTTGTTGTAATTCTACTTGAAGCCGTGCTTTATGATAGCAGAATAGATCCCGTCTGATCGTAGTTCTACTAGAGTTTAGATGATGAACTAATTGCAGGAATGAGTGGCTTTCCACAAGGCATAGCGGTAGGTTATTTGATACCACAAAAGAGAGTACAAGCTCTCTATATTTTGACGAGCTTAGTGCGTTACTGGGTGCTTGGCAGGCTGGAAAAAGCAGAAGCAGAAGCAGAAGCAGACGGCGTTAACGAGCTTCTAATTGAGGAGGATAGCTTCTCGTATTCTGCATGCACAGATGGGTGCATCTTCTTAAGATGCTTCCAAAGATTACTCGTCGTCTGGCTCTTTAGTAGCTGGCTCATCATATAGCTGCAATCAGTTTGAAGGCATTGGTATTGGATTCTAGCAGGTATTGTATCTAATAAAGTACGGTAGAATAGCCCTTTCGAAAAGAGGATTGATGTAGAATCAGGTGATTTAACTCTTAGAGGCATATGCGGCATCGGAATAAGGGGCGGCAGCTCTAAAGCATCAGACTGATACTCAGCCGGCACTGGCGACAGAGAAGAGCCACTCATTTTCACAGTCTGAAGTAATACGGAACGCTCAAGTGGAAGAAAGCTTCAAATTATCTATTCTATTCTATGCCCAGTTACCCATCATTGCCAATGGCAGTATTCAGAGTATTCGGAGTAGTACTCGGCGAGTCCCTGAGTACTCAAAAATATCACTTGAGTACAGTAGTACTCAGGGACTCACCGAGTACTACTCATGGCGAGTACTACTTGGGCAACACTGCTATATACAAATATAATACACATTCTTAATATTCCATGCTTACAGCTTGTACTTGTAAAGACACAGGGCACCCAGCTCACAGTAATAGCATATGAGAGTGCGAGTCGGAGGCTAAACAGATGCTATCCTATAGGTCTACTATGAAGGATACAAAAAAGATGAAGAGAGGAACCCCGTTGGGTCAATCTCCTTAAGTACCCAAAACGGGTCCGACTCGGCTAACCTGCCTTCACTCTCACCACGTGACTGTAACCTGTCCGACTCAGATACCTTCCGTCACTGAGGGACAGGCATCCTTACACTACACCCCCTCTTAAGAGAGTGTTTTGTCTGTGAAACACGCTGTGAGAATCATTTCCGCAACATCTCTGAATGGTATCCGTGAGAAGAGCATTTCATGTTGGCGGTAATTCTGTTTGTAATTGCATCTGTAACAACCCTGTTTATATGTCGTGTCAGGAAGGTGCATTGTATGTCATGCTGTTGTGCCGTATCGACTCCGTTTAGTGTGTGAAACCAGAGTTTGCTTTGTTCGCTCTGGGGTACATTCCTGGTGGTCCAAGTGGGCTCCGAATCGTATCCGTGAAGCATTCGGGTTGAACTTTCTGATGTATGAAAGGAGAAGTGGCCGCGCTAACCCGATTCGGAGTTCATTATTGTAAGCCAGACTATGAGTACGCAGCCGCGTCCACTTCTTCTTGTTGTCTCCAACAACAACGCCAGCGACCACCCCTCCGAGGATGGTAAGTGACCCCTTCTCGTGGATTGTCTGACAATGTACTAATAAATTGGATAGTATATTTTCAATCCACACGAACGAGTAGGTGATGGGAACGTGTTGGTGCGTGGGTGACAACGTGTGCTGGGCTGACGGGATTCGCAGAATTTTAACTTTGACAATGCCGGTTCCGACGCCCTCCGGGGCCCTTTTGGCTGCGTTCCGAGTGCTCTGTCTGCACTGCCTTCAGGCAAAAGCTCGTGGGATCCAATCTCACGATTGCATCTGGTCCGCGGCCAGCTCCAAGTGTGGGTACTGCACTGTGCAGCTGGCTTGCGTCCCGGTAGGTTTTCTTGTTGGATTCGGTGTTGGGGTTGGTTGGCTGGTGCTGATCTTGGTGGGAATAGCTGCCCTGGTTCCTTTGGGAAGAGTTTGCGGCCCTCCGCACTGCCGATGAGGCCACCCCCTCATTCCTGCTGACGTCGCCACCGCCACCACTGAGGCAAATCGGGTGACCCTCCTGGCTGCGCAGAGCGTCCCCAAGCTCGGATGCTGCTGACTATAGGCTGTGAGGCTTGGTCAGAGTCTGCTAGCAGGGGAGCTGTAGCCCTAAGGTCTGTGAGTTGCTCTACTACTTCGTTGCCTTTGATCCCCATGTGTCTAGGGGACCAGCAGGTTTTGATGTCGAAGACTTACATAGCTTCCCAGCAGGTGAGAAAGGCCCACTAGGAGGAGAAGGATGCTTCTCCCTAGAGACACCATATAACTAAGGTGCTGTTGATACATAGCTAGAGGCGGCTGTGTCTAATGTCTAGGGGGAGGCGGAGGGTGTGCTGTAGGCCCTTCTAGGCTCTGATAATTTCAGTGTCAAAGACATGTGAGAGGGGGTTGATAGCTCCATTCCCTGTGGCGATCTAGTGTCTGTTCTAGTATATAGCGTATCTGTATCCGTGTTACGGCTACGGTAACGTGACGTCATGGTTACAGGACCAGGGCCTAGTAACGTGACATGTGAGTCACAGGGGGCAAGCGGGGTGGTAGGCTGCCATGTGATGGGGCTAATGGATAGTTGCAGAAACTAGTGGATATTGGATAGTTGAGCTATCCATGAACTATCCTGAATATCTAGCTATCCGCCAACTATCCAGATTACCCATGAGGCACGACGCCACTATATAAGTAGATAGTATTTCCTTAGATAGGAGCTTCGTGCTCAACTCAATATAGTATTCTTTACAATACTGTAACGTGTTACTTGGAAAGCCTTTGTGTCTAATCCCCTGCCTCCTCTGTCAAGTCAACCTTATGCAAGAAACCTCTGTGTCTTCTATCGTTTAGAAGTCAGCGTTACAATCCGACTTTTCTGTTGCCTGCTTAGTGCTGCTCTAATCCATCAGAGAAGATGGTGACGTCTGTTTATAGTAGGTGGTCCCACCATTGTTTGAAGGCGGCTGACGCAGTGATCTTGTCCTAGCCACCTATAGGATCTGTCCTGCATCTAGTGGTGTTGTGGCCAAGGTATGCTAGGCAGCAGTACTCCTAGTCTCTAGACTTTGGTTTTGGGGCGTTAGTGTGTTCTGGCTCCTCTGCCCCTACTAATCATAGGGGGCTGAATGCGCTAGACGAGAGGGTGGCTTGCCTCTATAGTCTAGAGGCACATAGCGAAGTTATAGGTGCCCTAGTTAATAATGCCTTGGACATCCTAGGCTAGTAGTTGGACGTTTCTATTAAGTGATGGGGTGGCTCTATAGAGGCAGATGTCATCTACGTAGCCAAAGCAGAGGGATGTGTCCTAGGAGAGGAATTCTGCAAGGTAGAGCATGTAGAGGACTAGTGAGAGAGGTGACCCCTAGGGCATCCTACAGACTACTTTGTAATATGGGGTGGTGGAGTCTTTAAGCTAGACCTGGACCTAGCGGTTGGTAAGGAAGCTGCTAATGAGCTGTAGCAAATTGTGACTTCGTTTCCTGTAGCTAGGGCAGCTTCTGCATCGTGGGTGAAGCAGGCCACTAGGTCCATGGCTGATCGTTTAGGGAGGGCGCCCCCATGTTAGGGACTAAGGACCGAGTTAGTGAGGGCTGTCTAGGCAATGCGTCTAGCGACTATCCTTTCTTGGCCTTTAGAGGTGCAGGAGAGGAGGGCGATAGGACTCTAGGAGTGTGGTGAGGTCCTGTCTTTCTTGCTGACTTTAGAAGCATAGCGACTTCTGCTAGCTTCTAGCTTTAGGGGAAGTGGTTGGCTGCAAGACATCTGTTGTATAGGTCGTGGATCGCAATTTTGATGTGTTTCTAGCATGCTTTGAGGAGCCGTATAGTAACTTTGTTAGTGCCTAGAGAGGTGCTAGAGACTCCGATGGTGTTTCGCTCTGTCTCCTCTAGTGAGATGCCTTGGTTCTAGGGTAGGTGGCTAGTGCCGTTCTAGCTAGATAGGGGGTCTGCTAGTAGGTCATCTGTGTCGCTATACCTTTCTAGTATTGATGTCTAGAGGGCCTCTGCTTTTCCCATTGTATCCTCAATGGTTTGGCCATTGATTGTTAGTAGTGGTGCCTTAAGGTTAGAGGAGAGCTTGTGCCATCTAACGTAAGTTGTGGCATAGCAGGACGGATGGCGTAGCAGGACGTTCAGTGGTAGATTATCGCACGTAACTGCAATACCATGTATTAACTACCTTAGGGCTTAATGATAATACAGTAATATTCTCTCTCTAAGTCTTCCTCTTCAATTTTCAATTCAATTGGCACAATTATCTTGTTGTTTAGTGCTGTTGTACCTAATCCCTATGTTCTCTTTATTGTTGCCTCCTCAGCCTCGACAACTTTAGACCATAGTTCCTCTGTAGTAATATGGAATTGACCCTTTAAAACTGCCCTCTTACCCTTGTTCTGTGTCCTCTGTGTCTGTATTATCGCTTGTAGATTGTCTGCTTCACGTTGTTGTAAAAAGTTGCAAGTGTTTAGTCGCTCCGTCTCTTCTGCCAATTTGTGGATGTACTGTGTCATTAGTGTATTTAGTATTGTATGAGCTTATAAAGCCGTAGCCAGTACCGCATTTGCTTTGTGCAATATATAGCAGTCTAGGGGACTGCTATGTTGAAACACCGTCTTGAAGGTGTTTTGGGACGTTCATCTGCTGTGCTTGTTGCAACTGTCAAATTCAAATCCCGCATGACATGCAGTGGTTAGAATGGTTGTAAGCCTGCTCCTCTCTATGCAGAAGTAATGTTATTAATCAAAAATGCGTCAACTCTTGCCTGCATGTATGCAGTTAACCACTCTGCCTTTTGTACCCATGTGAGTTGCGCTTCATTTAGATGTGACAGCGCAGATGTGAGGCGCTTTTTTAGTAGACTGAACACTGCAACATCAAGCAGCTGCAGCACATGCGAAGTGTGCAGTGGGAGTATGAGGAGAGATATTTGATTCTACATACAGTGTGATATAAAACCACCACTTATATGACTGTCGTGACCATTGCATATAAGGAGTCATTGCTGTTGTCCACTGTCTGCCTTCTTATGCGTCGCTAGTTCAAAGACACATTTTAACCATTTAACACCATGTAAATTGCTTGTCCAACCCTTTGAGTTTGCAGAAAAGTACCATTTATCAATCAGTTCTTGCAGAATCCAGCTTTGTAGAACGTTCTGTCCTTTGAATAATGAGAGGGTTGATGGTTGTGCCATCTATACAGATGCACTCAACAGCGGACACCCATTCTTGCTGTCCTGAGTGCGCTTAATAACGTGTATAGAGTGTAGAATCAACGATGATTCATGTACTCTCTATAGTCCTAATCGAAAACCCAGTCTGTCTATGTTATACACATTATGTTCTTTAATTTGTAGACGTGTTACGGCCCTAGTACATGTTAAACCACCCTACTAACACTGTCTTCGTAACCCCGCTTATCCTTTGCACTTCGATTCTTCGTCCTAATCTAACTTGTAAATGCAGATGCCGTTTAATGAACTGTGGAACCTAGTCCTGACCTAGCGGGAACTTAGGAGTGTCGGAGTATATGTTTGTTAGTTGGTTGTTATGATGTTAGCGAGGTTCAGAATCATGAGGTTAGAAGATGTGGCATTGGTTTATGCGGATTTCAACTGCAACTTCTTAGAGTATTTGGTGGCTCGGTGCATACCCGCTGATTGTAAGCTCCTTGGTCCACTTAAGTAGCATACTTTCCTATGCTTTTGATAAAAGTTGTTGTGTTTGGCGTGCATCTCTCTAGGAGAGTCCACCTGCGACACGTTTTGTTACAGTATTCCTACTGAGGCCTAAAGCTTTTGCCGCCTCATAACATAATTTATATGTTCTAATTTGTATGCCTAATACTGCTTCTGCTATCAGAATCTCTCAGTCACACACCTTTTCACTTCTCTTTTGTGTCATTGTTGTGTTATAGTTGGTTGTTGCTGGTTTAGTAGGGTGGTCTAGTCACAAAACATCCTGATACGCCATCTGTCCTGCTACGCCACGACTTACGTTAATGACTTTGTAGAGTGCCTTGTCATCTTTAACGCCATTGATGATATGTTTCTAGTAGTCCCATTTAGCCTAGCGCACTATGCAGTGGAATTCGCATGTGGTTTTAGAGGGGCTGTCCTCTGTATCATCTCTATAGAGGAGGTGGCGTTAGTGCGGCTCCTAGCACTGTGGTGTCTACTATAGGGCTAGGTGGCCTGTCCTACTGTCTGAATACAGGTGCTAAAGACCTCTGCGATAGCTATAGCATATCGGTCAATGCGTGCTAGGTCTAGTGTGTTAGAGAGCAGTGTTAGGGAGGCAATGCCGTTCTGGATTAGCCCTGCAAACTTAGGGAGGGCAGAGTCTATAGTGCTATTCGTTATAGCCTATTTTTTAGGCTGACTCTCTAGTGGCACCACTAGCTGACATACCAAATTAGCTAGTAGAGTTTGCCACTAGGGTTAAGAGAGTCTGTAGGGTTAGGGGGTCTAGGGCTTTGTAGATGGCACTTTCTGTCTAAATTACCAGCTATAAGCTATGAGGGTCGGCTTCTATAGTTATCATAGAGTAGTATTCACCTATTTCAAGCATAGGATGTCGTTCAAATTGTTGATTATGGCTAACTACATATAATACACTAATAATTTACTAGGCTAGAAATGGCTGTTATAGTGCGACAGAGTTCTGTTACAGTGTGACAGTCCCCTTTCCTATTTGGGCACGTGGGGCTGGAGTGGGCACCTTGGCATTAGGTACGCCTTACTAAATATGTTACTGTTACACGCTAAAAGTGTGACAGAACAGTTGCTAAAATGCTCTAGTGCCAAGCACCAAGGTCTCATTCTAACAGGATCAGAGAACGATCTTCGTGTAACAAACTCCGAGTCTGTGTGGGGCTTTCCTTGGAGCGCGGGGTCGCTTATACCCCACATTTTCATCTGAAAGCCTCAGATCTATATTACGTAATAAATAGTACGGATCCGACTTCAACCATTAGGTAATGACTTCAACCATTACCTAATGGTTGAAGTCGGATCCGTACTATTTGTGGAGAACGATCTTGTATAACTATTCCGACTAGCATTTTCATCGCTCACAGTCGGGCTCAGCGGGGTGCGTCGCGACAAGCGATTTAGTGGAGTAGCGGTGAGAGGCAACTCGTGGGATGATCGCCAGGGAACAGGGGTACTATGATATCCAGGGTCGGATCCGTGATGCGGGGTTTTCCTAAGTCATGGGATAGTCAGAGCAAGACTCTACAAAGATATATAAGTATTAAAATACGTAGAGAGATAAGTTTCTAATTAAATAGTTACTCAAATATCCTTCACTAGTTTGGATTAGTATCTTCATTGTTTTGATCGTCGTCGAGTATTGTGTTGTTCAAATCTGAAGTCACCAAGACTGTGCAGTTTTGCATGTATCTACTCCTGATTCTCTCAAAATGTCGTCTATAGCTGATAAGCCTGTTTCTGTTCGTCAAGAAGATGCCGGCGTCAAAGAGCTTAAGGAGCATGATTTAAATTCTGAGGGACACGATGACGATTTCTCGGGGATTGATGAGAAGAAGACGCTAAGAAAGATGGACGTCAGACTCATTCCAGCTCTCGCAGTCTTGTATTTGCTGTCTTTTCTTGATCGTGGAAATATTGGCAATGCGAAGATTCAAGGCCTTACCAAAGACCTTCATCTATCAGATGACGGATACAATATTGCGTCGACTGTGTGAGTTGCTAGTTGCCCCGTATGAAAAGTTTAAGACGAACGATCTAATGATTTGAAACAGCTTCTTTCTAACATACTGCGCCTTCGAGGTCCCTTCGAATCTTCTTCTCAAACGCCTCCGCCCATCTGTGAGTTTTCTCTCGTTTCTAGATAACTCAGATCTAATGTATTCCTAGATCTGGCTGCCTTCCATCATGATCGCCTGGGGAACCTGCACCGTGTGTCTAGGAGTCGTCCAGAATTACCACACGTTAGTCGTCGTCCGCATCTTTCTTGGCGTCGCCGAAGCTGGTCTCTACCCTGGTGTGGCGTACTACCTGACAATGTGGTACTGCACGAACGAAATGGCTTTTCGCCAAGGTCTCTTCTTCAGTGCGGCGTCGATGGCTGGAGCTTTCTCTGGGCTTCTTGCTTATCTCATCGCTAAGATGAACGGCGTTGGCGGATACGAGGGCTGGAGATGGATTTTTATCCTCGAGGGCCTCCTTACCGTCGTTGTCGCTATTGCCGCTTTCTTTCTGCTCCATGATTTCCCCGAAACTGCTTCGTTCTTAACGCCGGAGGAGAGGGCTTGGGCTGCTTATCGTCTCAAGTACCAAGGATCTAGTCGCTCTGACAGGATGGTTGCTGAGGATGACAAGTTCAAGTGGAAATATGTTGTCCAGGCTATGACTGATTGGCAGCTATATCTCGGAGTTCTGATGTACTGGGGTATTGTCTGCCCCCTCTACGGAATCAGCCTCTTCCTGCCTACCATCATTTCTCAATTGGGTTACACTGCGACAATTGCTCAACTGCTCACAATCCCGATTTACATCACAGCGGCCGTCGTGACATTGGTGGTCTGCTACTTTTCGGACAAGGCCGCAAAAGCAGGGAGGAGTCGCTCGCCATACGTCTTCTTTCCGATGTGTGCAATACTCGTCGGTTTTATTATGGCCATCGCTGGATCCGCAGCAGGCACTGTCCCTGGCGTCGTCTACGCCGGCGTTTTCATTGCCACCTGTGGAATCTACCCGGCCTTCCCAGGAAACATTACTTGGATGTCCAACAATCTCGCAGGTTCCTACAAGCGTGCAGCCGGTATGGCGTTACACATTGGCGTTGGAAATTTGGGAGGTGCAATGGCCTCGAACTTCTACCGCAATGTCGATTCTCCTAAGTTCCTGCTAGGTCACGGGCTCGAACTCATGTTCTGTGTTATTGGCATGATTGCTTTAGCCGCGTTGAGATATAGTTATAGGCGGATTAATGAGAAGAGGGATGCTTTGCACAGTGATGGGAGCGAACATACAGATCAGCAGTTAAGTGAGATGGGAGACAGAGCCCCAACGTTTAGATACCAGCTATAGGTAATTGCTTAGAGCCTTTATAAATTTAAATTTTATAAGATTAGCAGCAACAAAAAAAGGAAAGTAGATTATTTTAACACTAGCTACCTTACGGGCGACGGCCCATTTTTTTAGACGGTTGTGGCACTCTTTGATAGGGTGCTGGCCTAATTTTACATGGGTGATTTGTGGGCCATATGATGCTTGCCAGACCAGTCCAGGACTAGTTGCCCAGTACAATATCTCCACCGTAACAGTATTCAACACTATGATCTCACTAGAGGAGACAGAGCGAAACACCATCGGAGTCTCTAGCACCTCTCAAGCGATATGCATGGCACCAAATATCCTTCAAAACTGAGCTAATAAACTAAATGCTCTATGAGAGAGTATGGAAATAGCTGTACAATAGTATCGTCATTGTGACAGGATTATTTCGAAACTATTCCATATAAATTCAATACAATATCGTTCCTGATGTACGAACATACACATGTCATATACAAATCATAATATTCCAGGACAAATGTGATTTACTTTATCCTATTTATGGTTTTCTAATATACAATTATGGTAGTAAATCCATCCATGACCATAAATACTCTACTATTAGCCATACGCCATAAAACATTGCTGTAAAAAGGGGTACTAAAGTAAAGCTGCTACTGCCTTATTCAGAATGAGCAGTCAAAAGAGAAGGACTCAATGGTCTGTTAGGAGTCGTATCCATCAGAACCTCATTAAGAACCAGATCATGACTTTTGACTAGGTCTACTACATTCCACACATCCTAATACCATAGGACTTGACAGTAGGAGCAGCGTCTGGCAGTACAGTCTTCTGTACAAGTACAGGAGAGTCTGTAGCCATTGGAACAGAGCTAGCATTAAGGTGGGTGGTAGCGATCTTGCTCACAACCTTAGAGATTGGTGCTAGCATCCGCACAAAGCGCCTTAGAGCCAAGCTCCTTCTGATATCATGAGTTGTTGAAAACGCTAGGGACAAGAAGGGCTCCTCGCTCTGAACATGTGATTGTTTTAGTCAACAGCGAAGTATCAATGGTATGATAATAGACGCCTTCCCACACTCACTCATTGACCATGACCCTAAGTGGTTTTCTAGAGACTGTATTCGACTCTAGCTAGGGGGGAAAGGGAATTTCTAGAACTGTTAGGTAAACTCTACCTAGGCATGTAGGGTTAGCAAAGGACCATATAGGATTGGATAGAGCCTCTAGACGATACCTAGGAACTCACTATGGGCTGAGTCTAGGGGGCAGCTCATGACAATGTCATTGGCGACCAAATTGTACCCAGGTCGCCTTTGAAGTAAGCTCCTCCATCTACATCTGTAGCTCCTGCACTTGATAATGGAACCAGCCATGGCACTTGATATCCCTTCTGAGATTACCCCTTGTATTAAGGCTTGCATCACAAAACTAACAACAGAGGTTAGCTCTTGGTGAAAGGAACCTAGCTAACTGCTGCTTGTTACGGCTAAGTGCTAGTGCTATGGCTAGCGCTTACAGCTGCAACCTCACGTGATGGATAACATTGGATATCATGGATATTTGTTATCCATGTTATCCACGGCGATCCACAGAATGTCATGTGATGGATAACATTGGATATCATGGATATTATGTTATCCATGTTATCCACGGCGATCCATGGAATGTCATATGATGGATAACATTGGATATCATGGATATTATGTTATCCATGTTATCCATGGGGATCCACAGAATATCAGGTGATGGATAACATTGGATATCATGGATATTATGTTATCCATGTTATCCACAGATATCCCTTTGGCACGACGCCACTATATAAGTAGGTAGTATTTCCTTAGATAGGAGCTTCGTGCTCAACTCAATATAGTATTCTTTACAATACTGTAATGTGTTACTTGGAAAGCCTTTGTGTCTAATCCCCCTGCCTTTTCTGTCAAGTCAACCTTATGCAAGAAACCTCTATGTCTTCTATCGTTTAGAAGTCAGCGTTACACTGCTGTCCTTTTATATTGCCTAGTATGTGTTACGACGGAACAAGAAGGCTGGCCAACTACAGGACAGAAAGGAGGGAGGTCGCATGAAACCGGCCCTGGTACCTGGAGGGGCAGCAGGGAATAGTAGTTCCGAAAGTATCACGTGACGGACTCGCAGGATGATGAGAAGAATCCTAAGAGTCCAGGACTCCGAGGACTCGAGTGAGTTCCCAGGAGTCCACTAGGCACGTGACGGACTCGCAGGATGATGAGAAGAATCCTAAGAGTCCAGGACTCCGAGGACTCGAGTAAGTTCCCAGGAGTCCACTAGGCACGACGCCACTATATAAGTAGATAGTTAGTTCTTAGATAGGAGCTTCGTGCTCAACTCAATACAGTATTTGTTATATACTAGTAACGTGTTACTTGAAGCCTTTGTGTCTGATCCCCTGCCTCCTCTGATAAGTAAACCTTTACGCAAGAGAACCTCTGTGTCTTCTATCGTTTAGAAGTCAGCGTTACAGTATGGTAATAAACGGCGCCTATACAATTGTCTGCACTCCCTTGATAATTATTAAGCAACCACGCTCAAGTGTCTCTATACATGTACAGAGGACCGATACAGTAGCATCTAATTGACAGCCATGGGGTCTAAGGGTAAGAGTATGACTATTCATGCTCCTTTGCCGCTGCTTAATGCCTAGTCCAGCTGGCATCATATATATCCCAGTATCTGAGCAGTACATATTGCAATATAGCATAAAGTCATTAATAAACATGATTAATGGTAGTGACTGGACTCAAGACTTGATTGTAGCAACTAGGTAATCCCGGCCATATTGCTTAATCTCTATTCCTCTGCATACTAGAGTATTCCATTAGATATCAACAATTCTGTGGCTTTTGGTAAACATTTTTGTAACAATCCAAGGCGTCTGTATAATATCCCTACCCCATTGTATGCTTATATCAGGTCGATGGTATAGTACTTAAGTAGGCTAGATCTAGAGTAGAGTCTCGTTATCGAGGAGGCGCTCGCTTATAGGCAGCCTTTCCACTTCCTCTTGCAGTCTCTAGGACTGATATAGTATATCGTTTAGGCGGATTAATGGTCTAATATGGAGGAGCACCATATTGAGGGTAGTAGAGGAACCCCGCTTATCGCGCCTAATAAACACAACTTGTCTAGAGTGTTTAAACGTAGAAGCACAGCAGGCTGTATTGTTACATTTGCTACGATGAAGTACTTAAATTTCTCTATAGCCCCTATTCGCGTTGGAAAACCAGGTACTCCGGCACTATAACTTTAGCAAACTCAAGTTCTCCTCTACTCTAGCTCCAGGAACAACATATCCTGCGCAGTTGATACCTTAGCCCACTTTTCCTTATCAAACTTCTTAGAGTAGACAAGTAAGAATGCCTCTTTGAAGCTAGAACTATGAGTGGAGACTTGCAACCATCCATTGTCGACAAGATTGTAAGACTTTGGGTACCACTGCGCAGGTCCTGGTAATTGGGCCCACTTTCCAAACTTCCAAGCTGTAAAGTTTGTCCAAACTGCCTGCTCGTACAAACAGAAATATTTATGTGGTGGGATAACCTCGTGAAAAGTGCTATAATAAACAATTAGTATTGCCAGAAGATTGCTAGGATGATCAGAGACGTACCCTTCCTCTACATCAATCCACGGCATATACTCAAAGAGACGCTCAGGCTTCTTTCTCAACTTTCCAGCCTTTCTCGTATATGAGCGAATACATCTATCCCAAAAATGTTGCCACTTGTGGAAATTGGACTCTTCATGGGCCTATCAACTATTAGTATTACCAGAAGATTACCAGACCATGAGGTAGCATACATCAATGCGCGCTTGAGTTAAGAGAGCCTGGATCTAGCGATCTCTTCGGAAAGCTCATCTGGTAGAACAGCCTCGTGATTTAAAATATCGTCGCGCCGTAACATAAGCTCCAACTCCAAATCGTCTTCAACCTCAGTATCCTCCCATTCGCTGTTATGATCGTCATCGATTGGGATACTTGAGATACCCTCAAATGCAGCAAGCTCAGACAGAAGTTGTGGCGGAGTAGATGGTGGTGCTCGTGGAGAAGAAGAAGAGGCGCTAATATTCTTGACTTTCTGATTCACAATGCAAGATGCATGAGTACCCTTCTCAGTCCTGTTTATAGTTAGATTGAGGCTACCAGAGATTACCAGAAGGAACTTACTGAACACGAATACGCTCAACCTTCAATTCATTCTGTAGACGTGTCTTGTCTTCAGTAGAGGCAGCGATATACTTTGCAGACTTATATAACTTCTTTAAGTAGTAGCTCAGATCAGCATAGTCAGCCTTGAGTGCTAAGTGAACAGCCTTCTCATCTTCAGTAAGGTTGGAGACGCGGTTGCGAGCTTTGATAGTATTCACATTAGTGGAGAGTTCTTCAGGTGCCTTGCGTTTCGCCATACTAAACACGTGATTAGCAGAAGATCGCCGGAAGTTCTGGCTATAGAATCAAGATAATAAACTTACTTGAAAGTCCTAGTGAAGAGGTGAAGGCGCAAAAGGGAAGAAGAATGTGTAGATCGGAGAGTAACTGTAAGGACACAGGGCACCCAGCTCACAGTAGTAGCATATGAGAGTGCGAGTCGGAGGCTAAACGGATGCTATCCTATAGGCCTACTAAGGATACAAAAAAGATGAAGGGAAAAAAGATGAAGGGGGAACCCGTGAGTCATTTCCCTAAAGTACCCGAAACCCCTCCGACTCGGTTAGCCTGCCCAAATGATCACACGTGACCCGCAGCTACTCAGAGTCTGCTCCTGGTCTGCTCCTTAGAGTGAGAGACGAGAGGGCATCCTTACAGTAACCAAGGAAGGTGGTTCTAAGGTCGTGGTTATTTTAAAGTTGCAAACAAAAATATTTGTGAAGGAATATTCACCTACAAAGAATTACTGTTCCAAAAGCAACACCACAACGCGCACCTTCATATAAAACACATACCTTTCAACCTCTACCTCTTTTCTATACTCTTCTTCTGCAATATTCTTCCTACAAACTCACTGTAAGTACACATATCTTTTGATTTACTTCTTTGTCTTGTGTTTACTTCACTAACTCACCTTGATATTAGCAAATGGCTCGTACCAAGCAAACTGCTAGGAGATCAACTGGAGGCACAGCACCAAGGATGCCACTTGGATTACGGGCTGGCTCTGGGCTTGGTGAAAAGGGAAAGGAAAAGGCCGTGGGCACAGCAAGAAAAGCTCCAATTCGCTCATCTCAAGCTAGCAACAATCATGCTCAGAAGGCCACGCGCCGCGCAAAGTCTGGTAAGAGGATTACCAGAGGATTACCAGAGGATTACCAGAACTCTCTAATAAACATATAGGCACCAAGGCTCTCCGCGATATCAGAAGACAGCAACTCGATACTAGCCTAATTATCCCAAAGCTCCCATTCCAGCGTCTTGTTAGGGAAATTGCAGAAGACTTCAAGTCCAATCTTCGCTTCCAGCAATCTGCTATCCTAGCTCTTCAGGAAGCTGCTGAATGCTTCCTCATTCGAGAATTTGAGAGTATGATGTTTAAACATAGTAACAGGGACATACTAACAGTTATAGTGACAAACCTTCTCGCTATTCATGTGAAGAGAGTGACAATTCAGGCAAAGGATATGATATTGGTTCGGCGTTTGCGGGATATGATGTTTAATCATGGAGCTGTGGGCTTAATCGATGGAAATGTGTCTTACCCAGGAATGAAGGTCAGATGAGTTCTGGCAACCTTCTGGTAACCTGGTACCTAAAGGCCAAAGGTTATAGTGTGTAATAGGACATCAACAATATGGGAATGGAGTTATGGAGTTATGGAGTTATGGCGTCTTGATCAATGAAGTCGCGCCCCGTTTTTAACATAAGTGTCATACTGACATTCGTTGCACTCAGTTTGCTATCAAACTCAAGAGCAAACTTAGAAATCTCCTCCTCAAACCTACAAGTCACTATACATATTTTGGCTTGTCACACCAACAACAAGAGCAATACTACTCAACGATTGCTACAACCCTCTATGATTCATTACACGTCATTGCTCCTTAGTTACTGGGCCGATATGACCACATAGCATATCTCTACAACCCTCTATGATTCATTACATGACATCACTCCTTAGTTACTGGGCTAATACTACACATGACATATCTCTATCAACTATAGGCCTAGGAACATGAACGATAGCTCCAAAAGCTTCTACAACCATCTATGGTTCATTACACGTCATCGCTCCTTAGTTACCCACAAGATTGGTTAAGTTATGACATAATTTGTCTATAGGGGTACTCTGACCTTGGACCTCCTTTTACTTGCTATAGGCTAGGAACCTAGGAGATGGTTCTATGGGATTCTCTTATGTGGACTACAGTTACCAAGCCTGGTTAGTCATGGAAAGTATTGGAAAATGAGAGAACTACACTCCTTTAGCATAAATAGGATTGCCCTTTCCTTAAGAAAGGGCAAGCAGACAATACAGTAAATCAACTATCACATACTTCCACGTCTTTTCCAAGCTTCCAAGCATTGATCTTGTTACTCCTTGTTTCTGAAAAGTCAGTGAGGTGCTAACCTCTGACTTATCCCTGAGTTCTCAGACTCAACATTTGTTACAACTTGTCTAAACCACTCCACTACATCATACACCTGATTGCTGATGGAATAGTCTAAGCTACGACCCTTTGGCTCTGTTTCCTAAGACAGTGTGTTGTCTTAGTAAAATCATCCCTTCCTTGGGTGGCTAGATTCTCACATCTGGTGCACCCACCATTACAATAATGTTGGAACAGGAAGTACCGTGGTACGGGATCACACACAAATCATGTGGTTTCTCCAGTGGTCGGGACTTCTCACGGGTGCAACGGGGCAGGAGTTCTCACACAGTATATAGCTTACTATAGCAAAATAAGATCGATTGATTAACTACACTATCTAATGGGCCTACGTGGCTATTTGTAGGCCTTTCGGAGGTTCTGCTTCGACCCCCCAAAAGCCCCCTATTCTGGTGGCTTCAGAGCTGAAACCCCAGTTGAGACTGTGGTGGTTTCCAGCACCGGTCGGAGATCCTGGGATGCCGTAGTGGATTATAGGGCCAAATACCACCGTATCCCAGCGCCCACGGCCTACTCTCCAACAAATAAGTAATGGCTAATCAAACACGTGATTTAACTGAGTTGCCAAGACCCATACTAGGTACTCAGCAAGTGAGTAATCCTCATTCAACAATACTCGGGACATGAGTGAGTAACTCAGCTGGGTAAGTAAAAATTCTACTACTCGACTCGTGAGTACCCAGTGCGCAGCCTACTTCCCGGAAAGGACGAAGGGGACGTTGCAAGTGCACTACTGCACAAAGCTGAAGAACCGCTCACAGACGCTGAAGTACAAGAAACGCAAGATAACGAACTCAGCTAACGAAAGCGGGGGAATTTATGCATCTGGTTTTTAACCAAGGGTGCTCACAGAGGCATACTATCAACTGGGAACAAAAATCACACAGCAATGCAGCCGCGTCGTAGCAGCCAAGGAGTAGAAAGCGATACAGATGAGATCTGCGAGGTGGAAGCGTTGCTTGCCAAGTCGACAGTACGTAATGTGGTTTGGTACCTCGTGAAGTGGGAAGGCTTTGGTGATGATAAAAATACGTGGCAGGCACAGGACGACATCAGTTCGGATCTTGTTGACAATTTTGAGGCGAGCTATCAAGGGAACTTCGGTGTGAAAGTACTCAAGAAGCGAGAACGGAGGGGGGAAATTGAATATTTTGTTTGAAGGGTCGTCCAGCGGGTGAGAATTCCTGGGAGAAGGAAGATACAATACACTCTGAACGAATTAAAGAGTTTGAGGCAAGGTGACCGGGGAAATCACTGCATTGTATTTTAAGGCTAGCTAGCATTTGCGTAAGAGATGAGCTCCTTTTGGCGCTCTCCCAAGAGGATCAAAGGGCCAATCCAGGTGCACTACTTGACAAAACTCAAAAATGTACTGCTAGAAACAATTGGTATTATGAATCAAATAGCATAACCCTGGTATCGCCGTGTCGCATACTTTCGCCCATGACTTATCTCCCCCCACCCCCGCGTAAGCAAAGTTCGCTATTGAACGCCCTGGCAACATTGAATAAAGATATCGCTTGAAAAATAAACCGATAATGCACCTTCATACCCTCAACAGTGATATAATTACACTGCCCGCCCCTTTTCTTTGGCTCTTCGAAGGCTCTTTTTCATGCTTCACGCACTTTTCACCAAAAAATGCAGATTGGAAGTGTCCATCTAACCATCTACTTGATATCCCTGTGACCAAATTGACATTGGAGTCCCATACGGAAACCGTCCCCCTATCAGCAACTGTTGTTCGAAGGAGGTATATTACCCTGGTTTTCCCAACAGCTCCGTGGTTTCGAACTGCTCAACTGCCGCCTCGTTGTTTGGGGAGTTCAGATATTCGTCATTTTAGGATTTCTTTTGCGGAGAACCTGAGTTCCTGCGTTTGACTGGAGGCTGAAAATCTAGTGACAGTTCGTCTGCGGAGGCCTCAGACTCTTCAGAAGATGGCACATTAGAATAGCGGTTTGGAATTATATCTTGGCTAGCGACGACTATATCGCTAGCCGAAGCCTCGCTTGCAAAGCTCAGTCCAATGCCGTCACCTTTGAAAGATTCTACCATTTCGTGGCTGGCTCTATCGTTCGCTTGATTGATGGCATCATCTCGTTGCCGCTTTGCCCAGTCCCTGCCATTCCGGTATGCAGTAGCACCTTGTCGAAAGGCTTCTGCGTCATTGGTCAGAGCCAATACTTTGAGCTGCGTCATGTTATACCCAGGTTGTCCTCCTGGCACGGAGGGTAGTATTGGTTGACTGGCGTACATCTTTATGATCCCAGCCTGATAAGTGCAACCGAGGGTATAGGCTCGGTTGTCATACGGCAAATTAGAGCTGTTGTACCCCTGAAAAGTGTTTATGCCTCTCGCCCCCAGTGCCATATCATAGGACAGCTGTCTTTTAGCCACCGCGGTTGACCCATCGTGTCCTTTCACTTCAATGAAGAAATTTGGTGCAACGGGGAAATCTTCTTGGGTGGAAGGCATAACATGACCTCCCAGGCACTTGCGTATGCTCCGGTCGAGCTGTTCAGGACGCGCGCCGTAGTATATATCAGGATTACCCGGAACAAGTGTCCCATCAGTCAGGTGGTCGAGGTTTGTAAACGGTATCTCACCAGCAACACATTTTTTATCCCCAACATCTCCTTCAATTATTGGGATGATAGTTGTCGTGACTTGTCTCTCCTTGGACGCCTGCGCGTCTTCTCGTTGAAACTTGCGAAAGTCATCCTTCGAGAATCGAGATGGAGATAGGGATTGTCTAGGCTGAGATAGTGCTCGAAGTATCTCATCCATATTCTCGGGCTCTGGCGGCAACCGGCCATCTGGATACTCATACCCATCGGGCAAGATGTTGTGGTCGACGAGGTGTTGCTGAAAGGCACGATCATATGGCCCTGTGCTCCTCGTAGTCGTCGTGTTATTACTTTTCGAAGGGGACTGCGAGCTCTTCTTTGGTGATCTTGAGCTTCTCTTTCGGCGCCTGATGCCTGGCTGGTTAGAACTCATCCTGGCTTTGGTTCCCGTTGGTATTGGGTACTACCTACTTTCAGCATGTGCACAGAAACTGAAGAATATCCACCTACTCCTCTCAAATCCTTTAGATCAGGGCCACCGTGCCTTGCAAAACGAGTGATTCGCCTCAAGTCAGTTGGTGAAAACAAGTCGGTGAGCTGGTGGCAACCGGTCTCGCAACAGGTTCGTGTAGCTGGTGAGCCGTGGGAGACTTTGGCGTTCCTATTGCCTAACTCTCGTAATGCGTTCCGAGTGAGAGGGATCTCCGATAAATGGTCCCAAAACCTTGACGGCGGGACTGCTGGATGGCAGACCTTCTGCCTTTTGGGTGAACGACGATTTGTAGTGGCTTCTAACGCCGGGCTTGAACACGAGGGAATGCGGCGTTTGCGTACACTGGGGGTCGACCCATCGTACGGGCCTTGCGGTACAACCATCCTTGGGCGCTTGCCATGGTTGAATGGGAGGTGCAAGAGACTGTTGTTATGTGACCAAGTACTCAAGAAGGAATGGTAGTGTGGTTGGAATGCATTCCGACACATTGGCGGCAAAGTCGATGTGGGTGGGCCGCCGAGCGCTGATTGGTTGGTTGGATGTCCACTCTGGTCCGTGTTAAGGCCCCTCAGACAGTGCTGTATGACCAGGAGGATTGGTGACGATGCTTCATAGTGCAAACAGCACCACTCAGATCGAATATTAGCGATGTGAATGGTGGATGTTGACCAGTGGGTCTGCATCATAAAAATGAATTGTTGTTTGAATCAATCATTCCAATTCTACTAAGACATTGTGCAAATGCTGGTGACGTGCAAAAATTCTTGATTAAAAGCCTCTACGTAGACAATTACATAATCGCTGGCGCTTGCATCATTGGTATCACCAAAAATAAATGTGACCTAGAACCGCGTTTCGTTGTGATGAACATATTCCGCGCTCATAGAAAGGGATTCTATTCGTTGTTAACCGCCCGGCGTGGCGTTTTGCGCCGCGCCGGGCGGTTAACACTTCTCCTGGCCTAATTGCACCATTGCAGATTATATCAGCCAACCAGGCAGCACATCAACCGGGCCACCTCGTTTTGTTGACACCTCAGGATACAGCATTTTACTCCGAAGTAATTCCGACGTCCCACCTTTGTACGGAGCTATTTTTTATCTCTGCGTCTACAAAGAATAGACGTATGCCTTATATTGAGGTTATCCGGGTCCTAGACCTATCTTGTGGTAGGCTTGCTTTACGTCATTCACTACATAAAGAGGGCTACCATCGCCGCCTCGCAATGAGAAAACCACCTATTTCTGAGACAAATAGAGTAAAACGCCTTGCTTTTGCACTTGAGCACAAAGATTGGACTCGGAACAACTGGGATAGGATACTATGGACAGATGAGACTTGGGTAACAGGTGGACGGCATACACGGACTTGGGTTACTCGAAAACCAGGAGAAGAATGGGAGCTACATGCATTGTTGAGAAGCGGCAGAGACCGGCAGGTTGAATGTTTTGGGGCTGCTATTCAGGAGCTCTAGGTAAAGGGCCTTGCATATTTTGGGAGAAGGATTGGGGGAAAATCTGCTCAAAGGCCTATATGGACCGTACTGTGCCTGTAATCCACGGTTGGTCTTCTGCTTATGCAGGATGGGGCTCCAGGGCACCGAGCAGGTGCAACTATTGCAGAGTTTGCAGAGCGTGGCATATACCCAATTGAGTGGCCACCCTATTCCCCTGACCTTAATCCAATTGAGCGAGTATGGCACTATATGAAGAACTATCTTCAGGATAATTATCCTGAAGTTATGTCTTATGACCGGCTCCGGGTAGCTGTAAAGGCAGCATGGGAGTCTATTTCACCTATATGTAACGCTGACTTCTAAACGATAGAAGACACAGAGGTTCTCTTGCGTAAAGGTTTACTTATCAGAGGAGGCAGGGGATCAGACACAAAGGCTTCAAGTAACACGTTACTAGTATATAACAAATACTGTATTGAGTTGAGCACGAAGCTCCTATCTAAGGAAATACTATCTACTTATATAGTGGCGTCGTGCCTCATGGGTAATCTGGATAGTTGGCGGATAGCTAGATATTCAGGATAGTCCGTGGATAGCTCAACTATCCAATATCCACTAGTTTCTGCAACTATCCATTAGCCCCATCACATGGCAGCCTACCCCGCTTCCCACTGTGAGTCACACGTCACGTTATGTGACTCACACGTCACGTTACTAGGCCCTGGCCCTGTAACCATGACATCATGTTACTATAGCCGTAACATTATAGTGCTTAATGAGCTTATGGACAGTATGCCTACACGTATGCAAGCAGTAATTGACACAAATGGACTGTTTACACAGTACTAGATTTCCTACTCTATTTCCTAGCTATCTACTGTACTTTTTAAAATATAATTTTCTTTAACTTTAGATGTATGGACAGCTAGTAATCAAACAGATTACTTAGGAATTACTATGTAAGTACAAATTCTATCTAAATGTTTTATATATATTAACTTTTAATAACGGAAGTCGTGGCGTAACGCGGGGGATGGTGTAACGCGGGGAATTCACCCCGCCGACTTCTGATAACTGTGAATAACTCAACAATGGTTCGCTGTAAAAGCCTGGGTGCTGCTGAGTGTGAAACTTTAATAGCCCAGGCAGTATTAGACATCCAATCTAAGAAGTATAAGAGTGCATATCACGCTGAGAAAGTGCTGGGGCTGCCGAAGAGTTCAGTGACGCGACACGTCAATGGAGGTTTGACACGCTCCCAAGCCCGCCAGAAACAGCAGAATTTATTAGGCGTGCAAGAACAGATACTTCTAAAGTGGATTAAAAACCTAGCAATCAGCGGCTATTCTCCAGGGCATCGGTTGTTGAAGGAAATAGCTGAAGAACTCTGGTCGCACCAGTCACTCAATTTTGACGACGCAACGCCAAACTTACTTCTACCCCAACCACGATTTTCCCTCGGTCGTGACTGGGTACCACGATTCATACAACGACATCCCCATCTACAGGTCGCTATTGGGCTACGGATCGAAACTGTACGCATGGACGGTGCAACAAAACCAGTGCTTATGGCATGGTTTAACACGTACACCAAGGTGGTTCAAGAGTTTGGAATCATGCAAGAGAACACGTATAACATGGATGAATCCAGATTTTCGATTGGGACAATGGAATCTACTTGAATTATCCTTGATTCAACACTTCGTACGAAGCATCAAGTGCATCCTGGCCGTCAGGAATGGGTTTCGATGGTCGAGTGCATCTGCGCAGACGGAACCATCCTCCCACCCCTCGGGATCTTTAAGGGCAAGAACGTTCTCCAATCATGGATTCCGCCCGCAGTCATCGATCAGTGGTTCTTCTCTGCGAATACGAAAGGCTGGACAAGCAACCTCCATGGGTTGGAGTGGTTAAAATGCATCTTCGAGCCAACAACACGTGCAAAAGCAGATGGTCAGCACCGGCTTCTTATATGTGATGGCCACAACTCACACATTAGCAGGAGTTTCATTGCGCATTGCATGCAGAACCATATTGTATTAGTGATACTTCCCCCTCATACATCGCACTTACTACAACCACTGGATGTTGCAATATTCGGGCCGCTAAAAGAGCATCTGACAGCAGCGCTCTCCCCACTCAACCAAGTGCAACTTGCGCGCATACAGAAGTATAAATGGATGGAGGCATACATCCAGGCACGGCTGTCTTAGGAAAAAGAGCCAAAGGGTCATAGCTTAGACTATTCCACAATGCAGCAATCAGGTGTGTGATGTAGTGAAGTGGTTCAGACAAGTTGCAACAAATGTTGAGTCTGGGAACTCAGGGGTAAGTCAGAGGTTAACACCTCACTGACTTTTCAGAAACAAGGAGTAACAAGATGAATGCTTGGAAGCTTGGAAAAGACGTGGAAGTATGTGATAGTCAATTTACTGTATTGTCTGCTTGCCCTTTCTTAAGGAAAGGGCAATCCTATTTATGCTAAAGGAGTGTAGTTCTCTCATTTTCCATGACTTTCCATGACTTACCAGGCTTGGTAACTGTAGTCGATGTAAGAGATTCCCATAGAACCATCTCCTAGGTTCCTAGCCTATAGGAAGTAAAAGGAGGTCCAAGGTCAGAGTACCCCTATAGACAAATTATGTCATAACTTAACCAATCTTGTGGGTAACTAAAGAGCCATGACATGTAATGAATCATAGAGGTTCGTAGGAGCTTTTAGAGCTATCGTTCATGCTCCTAGGCCTCTAGTTGGTAGAGATATGTCATGTGGTAGTATGAGTGATGTCATGTAATGAATCATAGAGGGTTGTAGAGATATGCTATGTGGTAATATCGGCCCAGTAACTAAGTAGCGATGACGTGTAATGAATCATAGATGGTTGTAGCAATCATTGAGTAGTATTGCTCTTGTTGTTGGTGTGATAAGCCAAAATATATATAGTGACTTGTAGGTTTGAGGAGGAGATTTCCAAGTTTGCTCTTGAGTATGATAGCAAACTGAGTGCAACGAATGTCAGTATGACAAGTTGCCACAACGCCAAGTACGTAGCTGAGTCCGCTCTGTAGAACTACCCTCCCTACGTGTATTTTCTCTCCTAGCATCAACTATACCCTTTTCTAGCCGTATTGCATTAGCTTCAGGTGCTGAAAGCGAACCTCCAAGCTGTAGGCAGCTTTTTTTAGCCCTCCAGCGTTTGCTTAGTAGCTCATTTGCTGTACAAAGCTCCTGGTTCTCAGCTTCAAGAAGGACTAGTCTGTGTGCTAGCATTGAGATACCTTTAGCCTGGGCGTCAACTACGTTATATAAATGGGTTGGAGAGCTACCCTGATGCCTAGCAATCCTAGATTTCAAGGTAGTAGAGCTTTGTACAGCCTCAATTGCTGTAGTTGGCGTTTTTAGACCCCAGGAGGTAGCGGTTCCTGGCTGAGAGTTTGACGGTGTAGGCGTTCTAGGCTTAAATCCAGCTAAGAAATTACTGTTTCAGGGTCGTATGGAACAAGGCCAGTTGCTCAGAAGCCAGCTCGTACATTCTCTTCTCCCATTGAAGCAAAAAAGGCCTGCTGGAAGGCAGGAAAGAAGTCGTCTTTAGTAATGTGAGTTATATGCCTCCGCATCATCTGCTCAATTGCCTTGCTATACGAAGCTTTTAAAGGGCTAAAACAGCCTACATCGAGAGGCTGGAGGATATGCGATGAATGGGGAGGCATGCAAAGCGGTATAATATTGTTAAGCTTGCAGAAATCGTCAAATTCATTAGCCCGGTGGCTGTTGTGGCCGTCAAGGATTAGAAGTCTATATCCACCAGTTGTACGAGGCTTAGTACATCCCTCAAAGTGATTCAACCAATCTAGGCCTATAGCGTTTGTAGTGCAGCCATTTTCGCTCAGATGGATCCACCAGGTTGGTGGGAATTGGCCATTGGTATACCAGGAGAGGAGGTGATATTTGCCCTTAACAATGATATATGGCGACATTGCCCAGCCATCTGCACATACACCCTGGATTACAGAAACCCATTCCCGATTGCCAGGCCGCTTTGTACGAGGTCTGTCCCGTCGATCAGAGGTTGTTACAACCTTGGCATGCAAGAGCATTCCCATCAAAAACCCAGTCTCATCAAAGTTGTAGATGTCTGAGTTGACAATACCATATTTTGAAATTGTATTCTGTACAAGTGCAAACCAAGCTTGTATAATCTTAGGATCTTCAGCTAGGGCCCTCTGGTA